CACCCTGTTGATCTGTTTTCTTGGGAGTTGTCTTTTTTTTCTCTGACCCTCCACCTTTTCAACATAATGTCTTTTCCAAGGATGGCCACCTCCTAGCAACATGCCTAAATAACAAATTTTACCAACCTTGTACAAGCAGCACCCATGAGATAGTTACTCACTATAATAATTTGCCTACATTATAATTCAAAGAAATCAATTCTTCTTCTGTTATTCTTATTTATTGTCCAAATTTTAGATGCATGGGAAGCAATTTACCATGGCTTGAATCAGGTGCACGTTAGTCTTTAAACTGATATCTTCGATCTTTAGCCCTTTGGAGTGGTTCTTGGCAGTAGATTTTCCCAGTGTAATATATCTTTTCAATTTTTGACTGTTGTTACAATGGTGTTCATTGTGAATCTAAGAAAAATTACTGACAGTACCTGTCTTTTCTCCCATGTATCCTGTTGTGCCTGTTGCTCCAGTGGTAAAAATTTTTGTTTTCTTGATGTTAATTAAAGATGTAATTTCTGTTGAAGGCTTTGGTGTTTGATCTTCTTCAGTAAAATCTTCATGTATTCTTCACTTTCTGCAAAACAAATTGTTGTCTACATAAGCCAGTTTGCTGATTAGTCAGTCTTCCTCCAATCTTGATGCCACATTCTCTCAAATAACTTGCTCATTTAATGTTGTTGTTGTTGTTGTTAGGTATCATTGAGTCAAGTACAGCTCATAGCAACCCTGGGAAAAACAGACCTGAACCCTTACTTACCTTACCTGAACCCTATGGCAGCCTTACTATGTGTGACACACATGAATCTATTGCCTCAGTCACTGTATCAGTCTATCTTGTTGGTAGTTTTCCTCTCTTTTGCTGACCCAAGCTGATGTTCTTTTTCAAGGAATAGCCTTTCCAAGCACTGTGCCTAAAGTGTGTGTGACACAGCTTAAGCATCTTTCCCTCCAAGGGGCACTTAGGCTATACTTTTCCCAAGACATACCTGTTTATTCTTTTGGCAGTCCATGGAATAGTCTTGTCTTCTTCTCCAGCACTGTAATTCAAAAGCGTCAATTCTTCTTATGTCATCTTTATTCACTGTCTACCTCTCAGATACATAGCAGGTACTTGAAAGCCAGTGGCCTGAATCAGGCATATCTTCATCTTTAAACTGACATCGTTGCTCTTCATAGTATTTTGGAGAGATCCCCAACAGCTCACTTGCCTAAAGCATTGTATCTCCTAACCTAACTGCTCATACCAAGGGTGTTGATTGTTGATCCCAGCAAGATGAAATCATTGAGCTTCAGTCTTTCTTCACCTTTCATAATGTTAACTGTTGGTCTTGTGGTGAGGAACTTTTTTCCTTGATGTTGAGGTTTAATCCATGTCAAACACAAGTAAAGGTAAAAATAATATCTACTTAACTATGAGATGTTTTAATCTGAAAATTTTGCTGTAAGATTTAGATTTATAATGAAATATTTTTGTTTTGCTGTTAAAAATTAGAAATACTCTTCTATTCTTGAAAAATAGCTAACACTTTTGAAGTAATTTTATCAGCTATCATTTTCTTTCTCTCAAATGCTAAATAAATACAATATATACTTTTTTCAGTTGCAGACATGTAGAATTTCTCCTAAAATAGTGTTCAGATGTAAGAAGGTTAAAGGTTAAGGTTTGCAGTTTTTTTCTTTTCCGTACACACTTAGTACTACAAAGATCAGCTTGATGATACCAGCATTGCCCACTAAAAATATAAAATTGTAGCTGCATTTTTTTTAAAAGTGAGAGAATCAGGTGGAATTAATTTTAAAGACAAACTTAATTTAATCTGATAAATCAAAATACTGTTTCATCATGTTGTCAATACAAAAATGATAGATATTTTTGCTTTTGTATTTAGTCTTTGAAATCTAGTATTTTACATTTACAGAACATCGCATTTAGAACTAGTTACTTTTTGAGTGTTTAGTAGTCACAGTTCAGTAATTAGATCTGTTAATTACTAATTTTGAAAGCTTTAGTTCTGGACTATACAGGTTTGTTGTTGTGTGCCATTAAGCCAGAATTGTTGTTGTTGTTGCTGTTATGTGCCATCAGGTCGATTGCGACTCATAGCAACCCTATGTACAACAGCCCTAAACCCTGCTCTATCCTGTGCCAATCGCATTGCCTCTGATACACCCATCCTGATTACCCCAGTCACTGAATCAATCCGCCTCCTAGAGGGTCTTCCCCTCCTGCGCTGTCCCTCTACACTACCAAGCATGATGTCCCTCTCCAAGGACCTGTCTCTCCTTACATGTCCAAAGTATGTCACATGGAGCCCCAGAATCCTTGCCTCCAAGGAGTAGCCTGGTTTA